ATATCCTTATAGATCTATTGCAAATCACATCTATTGATAAATTATGATCTAAATTCTGTTCATAACTGGTTCAGTAGCTATGCAAATCAAAGAATGACTACACATCTCTTTTCTGTACTAGAGAACATACCTTATTCCTATTTCTCCAGTCTACCCTTTCTATATGAGCATGGAAAATGCAAAACTTGCTAGGATTTCAAAAACCTTGCATTTCCAAGTGTTGCCTGAAGCATGTTATCAAACCCTCTTTATAGAAAATAGACAAATGTATGTAAATATTGTGTAGGATAAATGTATAGTTCCTTGTTGAAATATGAAAGTTTAAGTAGATAATTCCTGAAGTTTAAAAAAGTAATCAACAGCTGACTAGGGCATTGCAATTCCATTAGCTTCATACTCCCCATTCTCTCCCTTCAGCAAGTGGCTACACAAAACTGGACTTTCTCAGTGGTAACTAACTGCCTTTGGAATAATCTTTCCAATGAGATATGCGTGTTGGTATCTTGATTCTCTCTTCTGTGTCAGATATATCAGAAGTGGTAGGGTAGAAATGTTTTTCAATAAATAAAGATGCTAGACAATTACAAGAAAGTTTTGTATCACAGGGACAAATAACAGACAAACTCATCATATATTCCCTTTTCTGGGAGTAGGGTCTATTGAAGAATTATCTGTGAATACACGTAGGAGTTGATTGTTAGCAATTCTTCTTAGAAAAGAAAAATGCTATCAAACTCATGATTTTGCTTTTACAGCCTCACAGAATCTTTGTGGTTTGTGATACTGAATATAATGTTCTCTAGAAAGTAAGCTACATTAAACTTGTCATTCCATAATTAAATATAGATCTTCCACTACTAATATCACTGTTGGAATTCATAGATTAGAAGTGGATTTAAGCCATAATTATTGAGGAACAGAACCACCAATTAAGTAAATCAACAACTTCCTTGCCCTGAAGATTCACCATTTTGGGATAAGTACCTCTTGGTTGGATAGCTTTGGGCTTCTGGGTATAACATTTATAAAAGGAATAGCTTTGCCTACAGTTATTAATTGGAAATGCATGTTTTTGATGTCATCTCCTGCCATCATTGTAAGCCTCCCATTTATTACACTGCATTAGAGAAAAGGTAATGGAGCTGTAAGGCTAAAGCAATAGCAGGAAAACACAGGTTGGAAATACAGCTAGTGTTCAACATGTGAGATTAGTATATTTCAGCTATCGGTTCTGTTGAAGTGGTGTGAATCAGCTGAATCCCACCACTGGATAGACCTAATAAAAATGGGTGAAATGGTATGATCTTATTCTAAACCAGGACAAATAAATTTTAAAAGCTGTTCTCTTATGCATGCAGGCTTGCAATTAGATGAAGAAAAGCAAATGGGGATGGTAGAATAAATGAGTACCACATGTGATACTGTAAATCTCTATGATTAAGGTTTCCATAACATGCATTATTAAGGAAATCTGTGTTATATATTTTATCATCATAGCTACTCTGTTTCTAACTTTCTGATCACAGGCACAATGTCTGCTGGCAACAAAAACAGCACTAATACGGTTTACTTCTCCACTTATTAAAGTTGCTTTCTTAACCATTTGTATCTGGGAATAAACCCACTTTAGAAACAATAGAACTTATTTCTGAATAAAGTATAGAACTGCATAGTTTGTAAATCAGAATGGATATCAGCATTTATTTGTCACTTTGAGTGATTTGCAGCAGGAACCTAATATCAAGAAACAAGTTTGGTCCATCTAGCCTAACATTGTCTACCATCTCTGGTGATAGTTCTTCATGGTTTCATATAAGAATCTTTCCCAGCCCTGCTACCTGTAGGAGATAGCAGGAATTGTATTTGTGACTCTTGGCAAGCAAAACAAGTTGTCTACCTTTGAATAGATCAACAGGAATTTTGGACTCCCAATTTTTAGTGAAATAGAAGCAACAAACAGTCTTGTTGAGTTACAAAGGAGGTAAGAGCAGCCAATATTTGTTCCCTAAAAGTGCACATTTATTTTAAATCTCTGTCATGAGTTATGCCATGGTAATTGTTGGTCTCTTTGTTGCGATAATACTCACCTGTAAAGTTTTAGCATTAATGCATTTCCACGAACATATAGTTCCACTTGCCTATTTTGCATTCATGTTACTTATCAAGAATAATCAAGATGGATATTTGTACTTGCCCGTTCATTTTTCTCTCAATGTGTAGCTTATGGAATTCAATTGCAAATTTTCTCCACCCCTAAAGTGATTATTTTGCAAGTGTCTCCACACTCCCAGCCTCTTATTTGTAGCTGATTTTAGTCTGAGGGAAATTCTGCATGACAGCCTAAACTGCTAATCTGCCATGCCACTCCCAGCTGTTTCTTAAAACAAAAAATCTGCTAAGTGCTCCTCATTGAATTGCAGTCCTATAAAGTAGCACAGAGCTTATTTTATTCTGCGGGTAATATGGTAGTTATATATGAAGATTCTCTATTTGTTGGTGTGGCAGAGATGCGAGGTAGACCTCATGTCTAGCATTGTCAGAGATGAAAAAAAGTGCTAATGTAGTATCTTGGGAAGAGGAAGCATATGTAGAGCTATCCTCTTATTTTAAAAAAAAACATGAGACCAGAGATTTCAACACTGTCATGCAGGATCTAGCATTTGCTTTTACATTACTGTAGAATCACAGATGATTAAGATGTTGAGATTTTTCCACTTCCTAACAAAAACACATTGCAGCACCATTAAGAAATCCCACAGATAATCACTAGTTGTTCAGTCAGGAAAGAATGGGAACATGAATCAACTTAATTACAAATAAATGACAGCTTTCTTCAGAAATTTACTGAGACAGACTTATTGTATTAAAAAGAATTGGGTGGGTCCTACATTACAAAGCCTGGATTGTTCTTGTGCAGAAAACACCACAGTAACATCATTGATCCCTCTTCTCCAACAACAGGTCTCCCTAAATATCACTGCATCCAGTCTGATAGTAGCCTAACGTTGCTCATTCCAGTCATACTCTTGTACAAGAAGCTTGCCATCTGGAAATAACCAAGTAGTATCTCCTAATGCAGTAGCAAGGGTGATAAGAGGCACCTTTTTATCAGGATCATGTTGCATCTACCATGCATTGGCTGCCAGTTTGTTGTGTTTAAAGCTCTCAAGTTGTCCTGATACTTGAAACCAATTTCTGCTTCACCCTGGGTGTCTATGGAAGCACATACATACATTGCCTTCCCAAATGGAATTCCTTGAACTAAAGGGGGGAAGGGGAAGAGAGTCCTGCTTTCAGCATAATCCTACTTATTCCAATGTCACAAAATCATGCCACATTTCCTATCTTCTTTGAAGTTTGCCTTGACTTCATTCACTATTCTGGGGAATGTGATCCCAAGCACAATCTATTGCTAACTGTGATTTTGATAGTTTCACAATGAGATGAATATACTTTCAATAAAATCTATCAACAGATGCCAACAACCCACTCCATGGTTGACATTAATTCTCATTAAGCTTACATGGCTTGTTTTTTTTTTGGAAAATTGGGTCATTACTGAAATGAAAGATGGTATCTTCTGATGGGCATTGTTTTGCTCAGAGCAAAACCATAGATCTTTTCTTATTCCTACTTTATGTACAGAGATACAAAATTATTATATGAACTTAGGTAGAAACTGGAGTATTTAGATGGGATAAACAGAAACTTCAAATAACCTCAGAGGTGTACAATTTTTTTCTGGCAAGGCTGTCCTGGGTGTGCTTGGAACTGCATTGCAAAAAATTGTGGTTGAAATCAGGGCAAAACATAATTTTAATTGGAATGTACATTTAATTAAAATTAAGTACAGTTAATATATAACTTAATTTATTTCTTTTTATTCACAAGGCTGCCTATATGAAGCAACTCTTAAGCAATGGTATGATAATTTGTAGTGTATTGCTTACTAGTCAACCAGCAAATATTTCCCTTTCATCATTTTAACAGATGTAGTTTGGTAAAACTTTTAAAGTCCTTAGGTGCTACTCTCAAGACATTCAAAAGATACATGTGGCTTGGGCTTCATTATGCAACTCTGCTTAACATTAACCATCTAATACTGATAGACCTTATATCATGCATAAACTAATACTTTTTGTTTGCAAATTGTTTGGTATGCTTCTGTATCATAGACTACTGAACCTGCACATCTGGACTGGCAGGTCATTGTCTTTATAGTGAGGATCAGAGCTTTTAAACTGAGTAAGCAATAACATATTTGCTTTTTCCAAAAATCATGGAAGTATAGTATATAAGTATATAAAGAACTAGTCTAGGAGAAAAGTCCCAATGACTAAAGAGGACAGAAAAACCCTTGCTGAGTTTGCGGGATACTAATGAAAATAAAAGCAGGTGGAGGAGCTCCTTCCAGGATACTCCTGAGTTTGTTTGTTTTTTTATTTATAAAATTTATAGGCTGCCCCACCTTACCTCAAAGTAAGAGTACTGCTTGAGGTACTTTTTCTTGTTTATGCCTATGTTACCTTGATTGCCAGGATGCCAGCATGCTGGCTGGGGAATTCTGAGAGTTGAAGTCCTAATGTTGCCAAGGTTAATCAAGAAGGGAGCAAGGCAGAGTAAAAGTTGGCAAATGCAAAGCCAATGAGGCAGGGCAAAGTTTGAAAACTGAGTGAGATTTGAAATTAGAACAAGGATTCATGGGAACATATCTCTGCTTTAAACGAAGGATGGGATAAAATGTAGTAAATAATAAGGGAATGGGATTTAAACTAAAATAAATGTATACATTTTCATAGACTTATTTATTCAGGCTTCTTTTTCAAATATGTATGATTTTTACTCAGAGTGTTTCACTAAAATCTCAACATGATTAAACTGAAATCTGCTAGTATTTTTTGATCCAACTTACTGTATTTTGTCATGATCAGATTTTTAAAAAATATGTCCTTTGTTGCCTGCATGGAATTAATATAGAACCATGCTCTTACATTCAGTGCTTGGTTTTAGATTAACCTAGATCTCTTTCTCTTCCAAAGACTTCTCTGCCTCTGAGATTGTTCCTGAAGTGAGGAGCCAAGATGTTGGTACTACTGGCTGGAATTTTTGTGGTTCATATTGCCACTGTCATCATGCTCTTTGTTTCCACTATTGCTAATGTAAGTAGCAAAACCTTCTCAATGTTTCTGTTCTGTTTTAGCAACCATAAGATGTTGGATCTCTTCAACTTAGTTCAGACCCACGGCAAGCAATGCTTTTGCAGTCAGAGGCTTTTCTGTGTTTGGGGGCATCTGATGGTTGTAGGCACGGGTGAAAGTTTAAGGGTGGGTGATCTAGAATTTACAGTCCTGCTTCTGTTTCTGTGGGGCAAGGGGGAGATAAGGAGCAGAACAATTTTGAAAAAAGACAAGTTTACTTATTACTTGGTAAAACAGTAAAAATCCTATCACTACAATAAAGCAGGGGAGGCTAGTGCTAGAGACCTTGTTGAGCCATGTGCTTTAAGCTGCCAGTCTCTTCCTTTTCAGACTTGAGTCCAGTAGGCTTTCCTAAATGCAGGATCATCTAATATTATTGGATTTCAACTCCTCCTTTCCTCCTGCCTAAGAATCTAGGACTTTCAGACATCACACTAAACTATGGCTCATTTAACTACATTTTATTAAATAAACAACAGTTGGCTAGTTTGCACTATACTAAGCTTTTTACCATGGTATGCAAACTTCAATGCCTGTGATCACACAAGGCACGTTAAGACAAAATCAAATCACATTACAATTTTGGGTGTTGTGAGAACCAAATAGAACTGACTGTATTTGGAGAATATCAGACATGGAGAAGACAGGTCACTACATTCTTGATTTACGCACCTTTAAAAACCAGTTCATCAACCATATATTTACAGTATGCCGAACTATTTTCTGAAAACAAATTACCTCCAGAAAACAACAACAACAGAAAACTCCTCTGTTTTATTTATGTGGGTTAAGGTTTCCTAATCTGGTTGTTGAAAACTACAAAATAAGTAAAGGCCCTAAGGCTTGGCATATTCCCCATTTATGAACTGAAACAAAGCAGCAATTCAAAATAGCCTAAAGGCATGAAATAGAGAGCATTCCATTCTCTTATCCTGATCCTGAAAACATCTGGACCCAGCCCACTGAGAAACAAGTTGAGTGAGTTAGGACATACTAGTTATAAGATGCTTTGGTTTCCCACCTGCCAGACAGTCTGTTGTATAATTACAAGGTCTTTCCCAGACTTTCTGTTTTGGAATCATAAAACATTCTCATGAACTTTTTGGCAAAGCCAAACTTAATGGGGAGAGGGGGATATCATTTGGCAGGATTCTTGGTTTATATGACAAATCTAGCTTGGTTCCTTCCTGTCCATGTTGAAACACTGTGTCCTCTCTCATTTCAAGATTATAGGTTTCTGTAACTTTACAAATACAGATCAGCAGAGACAAAAGCACAATAATATCTAGGAACAAAGGATGTCTTTTACACATTTCTGTATTGTCATTTTTAAAACTAAATAAAAGTGGTTGAATTAATGCAAAAGAAAAATATAAACCTGTATTGACAATGTTCTCTAGCTACCTATATATTTAATATTTTCCTGATGTATTGAGCACTAAAATCATTAAAATAGGTTCTACCACAGTATGAATGTTAGCACTGAGTTGAGCATGCTAGTATCTCTGTTAAAAAATATAGAACTAAGTGGATATCCAAATAATAAGTGAAAACAGATTTAATTCTTCCTTTCAAAGCTTTAACTTTTATTTCACCATTTCCTATCAAACTCTGACAAGCAGAGTAGTACCATTCATTTCCAATACTATTACAGAAATGTCTTTTCTGCATTAAAAAAGTAAAAAATAACAATATGGTAAATTAACTCATTTCGATTAACTGAACTTTTAAAATCTTCAGTCTATGACTGATTAGTTCTGCTTGCATTCATATACACTACTAATACTATACTGTATAATGAATCTGTATAACTATTTTTCTTTTGATGTGTCATGTACCAATTTTATTTGCCCTTTGAGATAATTAAAAAACAATAGAATTAAACTTGCACTTGCTGGCTAGAGGTTAAACTAAATGACCTCTGAGGTGCTTTCCAACTCTGTAATTTTGTGATTTTATGACTGGGAATTACCTGTAGCTGAACAGAATTCAAAATTCAGGGATGTCGGCTGGGAATTCTGGGAGTTAAAGTCCACATAACTTAAAGTTGCCATGGTTGAGAAACCATGCAAGACCCCACACAAAGCAATTTTCTTCTAAATTTGTTCCTTCCACTCTTCCAAAATGTTGAGCTTAAAGACTTTGTTCCTAGAGCATCAAATAAATCAACCAAGAATCAGAAGAGAAGGAAGTCTAGATGTCAGGATTGGATCATCACACACAGCTTTCTTCTGTTTAGTATTTCTTTCAATAATTCAGTTACATTATTCCAGGAAATGATGCAGATAAGGCAATTTTAATGTAAAAATGTATTTATTTATGCATTGAATAAAGTAAGCAGTACTATGCCTCCCCCCCTCTGTAAATTCCAAAAGGATTTTTTTCATTCTGTACAAAAAAGACAGGCCTCCTACCACACCCTTGGTCAGGAAACAAAGAATTTCTCAAGAGTAGGCTTGAGATAATGCACCCGTTAAATTCCATGGTACTCGGCATTTTGGGCCACATTGTATAAATTCCTCTAAACAAAATTTACATGCATTTGAGATTTGTTTAATTAATTTGATATTATGATTGACAAAAGATAAGAGGTCTAAAGAAATGTCAATAGTAACAGGATGAGCCATTGCATATAAGCAGACTAAAACATATAAATAACAGTTGCAGGAACTGGGTATGTCTAATTTAATGAAGAGAAGGATGAGGAGGGACATGATAGCAGTGTTCCAATATCTCAGGGGCTGCCAGAAAGAAAAGGGAATCAAGATATTCTCCAAAGCACCTGAAGGCAGGACAAGAAGCAATAGATGTAAACTAACCAGAGAGAGAAGCAAACTAGAGGAGAAATTTCCTGACAGTTAGAACAATTAATCAGTGGAACAACCTGCCTCCAGAAGCTGTGAATGTTCCAACACTGGAAGTTTTTAAGAAGAGACTGGACAGCCATTTGTCTGAAATGGTATAGGGTTTCGTGCCTGAGCAGGGGGTTGGACTAGATGACCTCCAAGGTCCCTTCCAACTACTACTACTACTACTACTACTTTTCCTCCTCCTCCTCCTCCTCATTATTATTATTATTACTAATCATTGCAAACCCCAATCCTTTCAAGCTCTGAGGATTTTACCTAGTAGGCTAATGAAATATCTGCAACACACACACACACACACACACAAACATCCAACTTCAGGGAACATCAAGAACTCTACAAATATCAAAAATGCTATAATGTCATGGATATGCAATAGGCAATAAGGACCTGTTTATATAATTTGGTCACAAAGTAGCCTTTTCTAATGCTGCTTGAAGAATTTAAACTACTTAGTTGATTATTTAGATACAGTCCACTAAAAACAAAGTTCACATCGACACACATATACACATACATGGACAGGCACAGATACACAAATCAGAATGAATCTATTAGCACTTTTCAAATTAACACATTTTATTTACAAGGCACAGGCCTTTGGGAACTATAGCTCAGTATTTGATGCTGTAGCTTGTGAAATCTTATGTCTTTTAATAAAATGTGTTAGTCTGGAAAGTGATCCCAGAGTTTCCTGTTTTTTGTCTACCATAGACTAACATGGCTCTTCTCCTACAATAGGTATAAAAAATTAAGCCAACATGAGCTAGAGACTTTTCTGATGTTTATGATTTCCCTTGATGACTGTGTGAATAAGTTTTGAAGTCCACTGTTTTTTCTAATTGAGCAGGAATTGCCTTGTGGACTTTCTCTTTCCCTCTCCCTCTCATCTCCCTCTCTCTCTGTCTTATATTAAAAACCTTTCATGTGTAAGTTGGTTGATATTTCAAAAGAACAACCATTTTGGACTAAACGTAAAGCAGTCTAGTCTTATTTGGTTCCCTCCTGATGTGCTGGAATTTCCATAATCCAAAGTCTATGCAACTGACAATGTGGCATGAAGTCCAGTGGAGACCAGGTTGGGAAAATAAATTTAAGATGATTTTAGTTTTGCTAACATCAATCATAAACAAGTAATCAAACAGGTTTTCCTTTACAAAAGACAAAAGAACCCCCAAATTATCGTTACCGCTATTATAGACTACTATGAATATTGCAGTAAAGTTAATGTACGGTTGATTTGATAGTGTTGGGAACATTAGCTCTAAACTACATAATTTCTGTTATGTTCTCTTAATTAGACTAATCTCAATAAGCTCGCAATGAGGATAGCCCTCAGGAGATAAGCAAATAAGAGGAAACAGTTTCTTCCAGCTATTTATTTTATAATGGTTCAATAGTATGGCTGAGCAATTCTGGGGGTAGTGGGGAAGTACTTGTGGATTTTACAAAACTTCTGATAAAAGATTCAAAATTCAAGATTCTTTTTTCCACCACTTCCTTTGGAAAAGAAAACAATGTACTAAAAATCAGCTGTGGACTGATTTTCGATCCACACCCAGTGTTGCATGAATAAGTATACTTGTTAGAAAATAAGCCTCTTTGGATTTCACAGCATTGACTCTGGACTGCTAGCTGATAAACAGTAGAAGAGAACTAAGCAGGAAGACAGTGGAATGTGTTACTCATTATTGCTTTGGCCACACTTACAGTATATTTACATATCAACTGGCTCCTTTGCTTTAGTTTATGATGACATCTGCTGGATACTTCTATCTGAAACAGCCTACTTATTTTATACACACTCATACATACACACAAACACACCCATGGCATACAAGCCAACATACCATTGAACAAAAACAGGAAAGATATTTAGAAGCCAAAAAAACTCAGGAAACCACAATAAATTCTTTGTTTTCTCAGCACTCAGTTGTTCCAGTATTTGGCATCTGTCCCCCCTCATCAGAAATCAGGAGAATAGAATTTTACAGGGAGAGAAGCTTAGGAATATCTTTGTCATATGCAATCCAGATTCCCATGACTCTCATTTGAATATGGAAGATAGCAGATCTGCAGTTAGATTTCCCCCCAAGGATTTCCTCCAAATATTTTATGAAGTAAGCAGCCAGAACAAAAATGCTCTGTTCTTTACTCCGCTTCTCCATATTTGGTCCCACAGACTCCAACATATCAAATAGCCCCCTATCAGCTGTGTAGTTATCATTTGAAGTAGTCAGTCTAATTACTTTTTTGTACAACGTATATATATTTTTAAAGCTCAGGAACAGTCAGTTACATCCATCTGGATAGCTTTTACAAGGAAAGCTATAACTTACATTTTCATGTAAGTTATAAAAATTCAGTGTCATCTGTCCTATGCCCTTTCTTAAAGTAATATCAAGAAACAGAGACTAGGCTCTGAAAAAAATGATGCCCATATATCTCATTAGCCTTTGTTTTTAAAGTTGCATTATGTTTATTTTAATATACAAACTCAAAATAGCGCTAGCCTCTTCTAAATAAATCTGCTCTAAATTGATCTGTATTCTGCTTACTATAACCTAGAAGCGTGGAAAACATAGTTATAGCCTAAGGGGTCAATATATAAATGAAATGGTAGCTAACATCAGATTATATTAAAAACATTTTAAAGATACAAATACATCAACAAGAAAATAATTCTGAGCCTGCTTAGATCATATAGAAAATCCAGTTGAAAGACTACAATATTCATGACATTGGAAGTATGACCTTTCCTATCACATTCTCCAGGCATCTAGCAATGTAATGATTTCTAAAGGATACTTATTAATAAATGATTTGCACTTTTTTAAAATATGGGAATGTGGTTGCATTGTAACTGAGAACTCTCAAAACCATAGGGAGGATCCTTCATGGAACAGCCAGTCTGGCTTCTGATATTATGGCAACTGCAATGGGAACAGATCATCTGAGGTGGGCAGGGTACAGTAAAAAAAAAAAGACAAGGTTTCATGTGATTTGCAGTTCAATTTTTGTGGTTTTGGCCCCCTCACCTGTAAATGTTCATGAATGGGAGTTTTTCAGCCTTTCTTTATGATTTATAAATGCATTGTACTATAAACAGAATACAGTAAATGCAGCAATAATTAAAATATATTATTGCAAGAGATGAGGAGGCAAACATTTTTATTTAATTCAGTGTCAGTAATTAAAGTAGACTTTTCTGAATTGACCATCTTTTGTATCATTCACATCATGGCTTCCTGAATTTGCTGTTCTAAATTTTACTGAATTAATAATCTTAATTATTAGATTCCAGCTCTTCAATAAATAGTCAAGGGGCCATCAGAGAAAGTCTGTTTTAGCATATCTGGTAAAATCTAAAGTTGAGAATCTCTGTTTTCTTTTTTGAAAAAGGTAATCCTGAGTTTCTGGCTTGTTAACGAAGTAGTTCCAAACCCTGTGAACAGAAGGCTGAGGAGAATGTGAACAGATGGGCTAGCTCTCCTGAAATAATCTCTAAAAAGGGATCATATTTAGTGGCACAGTAGTAGTTTTCATGTAGTAGATCATCCATTTGGGTCTCAATTAGATCTTTCTCTAATTGAAAAGGATCAGGTACAAAATGATATAAGAGGCTTCTGCTTCAAGCCATTGAGACTTATTGTCAGAACAGAAAATACTGAATACTTGATGATGAAATAGGTTAACTAGTATAAGGCAGTTCTTTATACCTAGTGTACAAGGACAAGCATCATCAGTTGGAGCAACCATCACCATATCATACAGTTTTCAAAGGAATGTGTATATGATTGTATTAAGGTGTCGAATGTCAAAGCTAATTCATTTTGATTACCTAGAACAAAGCAGTAAATATGTCTTCCTATCACAAGCCAAGAAGCCCAAATCTCAAGAGAGATAAATATAATAATAGCTATCACTTTAAATGTTTTAAGAGCGAAGTAGAGATTTCAGGAAGGCATAGCTATTGGTGACTAGTAGCCTGAATGGCTGTAAACTGTCTCCAGAATAAATGCAGCATACTGTACCTTAGACACTAGCCTCTGGGAAACAACAGTGAAAAGAGCTGTCTCATAAATTTCTCAGATGAAACAGACATGACGCTGTGTGATATAGTGCTGGAATAAATAGCCCTTTGGTTTAATCCAGCTGGCAGTTCTTAGGTTTCAATGTTCTCATTTTATACCCATTGAGTTTCTTTTCCCCAGTTTCTATATATTAGATCATGATTGGTTTCAAACATTTCCAAATTTGCTACAACAGCAATCCCAAAGCCATTTTGCAAGTAGTTTGAACACAACAAGGCTTTTTTTGAATAAATAGTTTATAATTGGCTATTTCACTTGTTGGAAACCAATCTCCTCTCCTCCCCTTCCCCAAGAGTAAGAGAAACTCAAAATGGATTTTGATGAGCTTCCAATTGGGACTTGTTAATTACAGTATTTCCTGAGCAACAATAACTATCAAATGAAGGCAAATAAATTGCAATGAACAAGGATATACTGTATATTCAATTTCACAGCAACTAAGATTGTTGGCCGTGCAGGTACAAAGATAGCCAGTGAAATGATTGAAGTCTGGGAAACGAGCCCCTTGTCAGTCAACAGGAGTGTTGATTTACCACCAGCTTATCAGATATTTAGGAGCTGAGGATTTGGCAATACAAAGAAACAACAGCCAATAGCCAGCCATCAACACACCAATCAACCAATAAGAAGGCACCACATACATAAGATGCATAGAATAGCCCAAAGCACACACTACAGTAGAGAGAAGTTCCCGGAGTCAAAAAACCTGGAAGACTAAACTTCTGGTCTCAGTGACCAACCCAGACTGGATCCTGCAACAACAACTATTTTCATAAATATCTTGTTTTTCTGTTCAGATAAATCATTCTACTATACATCCTACTAAATTAATGTTAAATTTCACATCAATAATTGCATTCCATTTTGGCAGACATTTTTTCTAAGTATATATTACCTTAAACATATCAACATTTGCAATTATATTATGTGTATTCAAATAATATATTATTGTATGTGCATTGCTGAAAAAGCACTCTAGTATCAGCTATATTGCAGCATAATCCAAAATGTCTTTTGGTACAAAAACATCAGCCTTTGTGGAAAACCTAGTAATTATTGATGACAGTTTTGCAAAAGTTCAGCTAAACTGGCTTCCAGTTTTAGCTTGATGTCAGTTTCCTAAAGGGAAGTAATCCAAATATGAAAGCTTCTTTTGCTTTATTTTAGGTCTGGATGGTAACCACCATTTCTGGCAAAACAAACTCCTCAGGGATCTGGAAGCAATGTTCAGAAAGCAGTTGCCAGAACCTTGTTTTTAACAATGATGACATGGGTAATATACTGCTTATTTTCATCTATGGATATTGCTTTAATGGTGTATTGCTATCCATTTAACTCCTGTGTTCCTTTCTCTCTTTCTTCCCTTGTGTCTCTAGCTGCCCTCAAGGCTGTGCAGGCCTTCATGATCCTGGCCATCATCTTCTCCTTCATTTCTTTGGTCATGTTCGTGGTACAGCTCTTCACCATGGAGAAGGGGAAACGCTTCTACATCACTGGAGCCATTATGCTGATTTGCTGTAAGGAAAGCTTTTATCTATAGCAAATTGGAAATTAGTCCAAAATACTGGAGAAAGGTGGTATATAGTTATGATGTGTAAATCTAACAGAATAACACAGTTGGAAGAGACCTTGGAGGTCTTCTAGTCCAACTCCCTGCTCAAGTTGGAAACCTTATCTAATACTATGTGAAGTATTATATCTAGAACCAGCAGTGAACAGCAGACAAGGGAGACTGTTGGAAGCAGTGAACCGGTGGGTCACAGTATATTCAGTAATTGCCTAGACCCATACCCCAATCTAGGCATCTCAGCTCGAGGGGGAAGCCAGGCAGCCCAACCCAGGACCCAGCAAACGAGAGGCAGCCTGACTACCACAGCCCTCTCCTTGCATCCTTCCAGCCCCACAGCCCTCCCCAGTGACTTGCCCCAGGTAGAGGACTTGATCAATGTTCTCTCCCCAGCAAGATCAGCAGCCCCCTCCCTCACCTCCTGCTAGCCTGATCTGGCAGAGGACAAAAGGTCTGGAGCAATCCATGGGCTATGAAGAATTGGTAGTGGCAAAATCTGAGGAGGGGAAAAATGCAGCAGCAGCAACAGAGACTCTTCGAGCTAGAGAGTTCTGATCTCTAAAACTGAGTGGCTGGCTGAGAGGAGCAGACCAGACAGTGGAGCTGAGCTGACTGGAAAGCTGACTGGAGGCCTGACCAGAGCAGAGATGAGCACCAAAAGACAGACTAGAGTTGGCAGAGAAAACAACGAGGCAGGAGCAGCAAGCAATGGAAGTGAAGGCAACAATTAAGTTTGACGTCCCAATAGGAAGGGAGGAAGACTCCCAGTAAAGAATAGAAATAAATACAGGACAGAAAGCAAAAGCTAAATAAATAGGCAAATAATAAGGACAAGAGTGGAACATTAGAAATCGAGAAAGAATAGACTAATAAAGAGGCAAATCTTAACAAGGCTAATCTTAAATAATAAGGCAGGGAGGAACTGGAGTGAAAAAACTTAAAAAAATAGAGGGAAAAAAGGATAAATAAAACTAACATAATAGTAAGAAGGTTAAAAAATAAGGTAGAAAAACAAGCACAAACAGACAGAAAAAGGATAGGAAAAAAATAGGCATAATTACCTAGAACAGAGAAGAAAGAAACAAGGCTAATAACAAACCACATCCACCAACCAAAAAGAGGGATTTTCAAACAACAAACTCATGGAACAGGCAACTGATACTATTGTGATATGCAATACATGTTCCATGTATGTGCTTATGCCCAAAGAACACCCAAATGATACATGCATTAGAAGTAAACCATGTGAACTATTAGAGGAAAAAGTAAGGGACTTAGAGGCAACCCTAGCCAAAATCCAACCTACACAAGAAAGCTATATCCAAACTGAACCTAATAATGAACAAATAACTCCCAGAGGATTTGACCCTACTGATAAACCCTTGGAGGAAGAAAAATGGATGTATGTCACACATAGAAGGAAACACAATAATCAAAGAAAGAAGCAGCAGACATCTAACAAACCCCTACTGCCCAATCTAACCCAACCAGAAGCAGACCCATTAAAATTGAGCAATCGATTTCTCCCCATAGATGGAAAGATGTAGACCCACAACCTCCCCCTCAAAGAAAACATGCAGACACATAGCAAAGAAACAACACCAAATATCCCTAAAAGAGTCACCTCAACAAACACACTGAGATAAACAGAAAAGCACCCCAGACTGCACCCCCCCAAAAAAGGAAGGCAAATGTTGGTAATAGGAGATTCTATCCTCAAACGAACAGAATCAGCCTTCTGCAGACCAGACATACAATCCAGGGAGGTATGTTGTCTCCCTGGAGCAAAAATCAAAGATGTAGCCGAGAACCTAACCAAAATAATTAGGCCCACAGATTACTACCCTTTCCTCCTCCTTTACATTGGGACGAATGACACAATAAAGAACCTGAGTACAATACTGAGAGATTATAAGCAACTAGGCAATAAAGTTAAGGAGCTAGGAGCACAAGTAGGGTTCTCATCAGTACTACCAACAAAAGACCAACCCCCATTGAGGGAACAAAGAATTCTAAAAATAAACCACTGGCTAAAGGGTTGGTGTCTCCAAGAAAACTTTGGTTTCCTGGACCATGGACTGCTTTTCCTACGTGAAGGAAAAAATGTACTTAGAAAAAGAGTGGCCCAACTCATCAGTAGGGCTTTAAACTAAAATCAAGGGGGAACGGTGACTAATATTTAGAACAGGGGTGTCAAACTGCTGACCTGCAGACTGGTTGCATCATGATGAGGCCATGCCCACCTCAGCTCCAGCAATGCAAAAAAAGTTGTGACATGTCATGACACGTCATGTGACATGGTGAGTTTGACACCCATGCTTTAGAATCTCTAGAACACAGAATCAGTCATAAGTCTCAAGAAAACAAATCAAACAATGAGGTAGGGAATGATAAGGAAAAAAAGAAAAACTCAAACAACAATCAGGAGATGCAGAAAACGTACCCACAGACAGGCATAAAGGTCTTAAATGCTTATATACAAATGCTCAAAGCTTGGGGAATAAACAGGTTGAACTAGAAGCAATAGTACATGAGGGCAGGTATGACATAGTTGGCATTACAGAAACCTGGTGGGATGAAAGCCATGACTGGAATGTACTGATGGATGGATACAAATTGTTCAAAAGAAATAGATTTACAAAAAGAGAAATGCACGTGATCAAAGATAAAATCCCTCCAGAATGTATATGGGTCAATATAAAAGGGGAAAAAATGACATTGCCATAGGTGTATATTATAGGCCACCTAACCAATCAGAAGAAATAGATGAACTCTTTGCCAGCCAGTTAACAAAAGTATGTAGGAAGCATACCACGGTAGTAATGGGACACTTCAACTATCCAGATATCAACTGGGAGACAAACTTTGCAGTGAGTGGGAGATCAAACAGATTCTTAACCAACCTAGCTGACAACTTTATCATTCAAAAGGTGGAGGAGGGAACTAGAAGTAAAGCTATACTGGATCTAATTCTTACTAACAAATAAGAAGTGATAGAGGGAGTTGAAGTTGCTGGAATCTTGGGTGAAAGTGATCATGTCATACTGAAATTCAATATAATGCAAACACAAGCAATAGAAAATAATCCAACCAGAGTCTTAAACTTCAAAAGAGGTGATTTTAACAAACTCAGAGAGAACCTAGGAAAAATTCCATGGATGAAAATCCTAAAGGGGAAAACAATGCAAGAAGCATGGAAATATATAACAATACACTGAAAAAGAAAAACAAAAAATTCAAGAAGAAACCAGCATGGCTACACAAAGCTCTCTCTGACAAACTGAAAGACAAAAAGGACAAGTACAAAAAAATGGAAAGAGGGTCACATAACTAAGGCTGATTACCAGCAGACAGCCAGAACATGCGAAGATGAAATCAGGAAAGCAAAGGCTCAGAATGAAGAAAGACTTGCAACAGAAATCAAGGACAATAAAAAAAGTTTCTTTCAACATGTTAATAACAAGAAAAAAGTCAAGGAAACAGTAGATCCACTAAAGAGAGAAGATGGCAAGGAAGTAACAGGCAGTAGGGAGAAAGCAGAGCTGCTTAACTCACTCTTTGCATCAGTCTTCACACAAAAAGAAATTATAGCCCAACATATAAAAAAAACTACTACAAAAGATAAACTAGAAACAAAAATTAAAATAAGCAAGAAAATGGTAAAAGAATACCTATTTGACGTTGACGATTATAAATCACTGGTACCCGACAGATTATCCCAGAGTTCTGAAGGAGCTGGCAGATGTTATGTCAGAACCATTGCAATATATCTTTCAAAAATCCTGGAGCACTAGGGAAATATCTGATGATTGGAAAAGGGCTGATGTGATTCCCATCTTCAAGAAAGGAAAAAAAAAAAAAAAAACAGACCCAGGAAACTACAGACCAATCAGTCTAACATTAATACCTGGGAAGATGCTGGAAAAGATAATAAAAAAACAGATCTGTGAACAACTAGACGCAAACAAAGTTATAGCCAGTAGCCAGCACAGGCTTGTCAAAAACAGATCATGCCAAACCAATCTTATTTCATTCTTTGATAAAGTGACTAAATTAGTAGACCAGCAAAATGTTGTGGACATAGTATACTTAGATTTCAGTAAGGCAATTGACAAAGTAGACCACAACCTGCTACTTAGTAAGCTAGAAAAAGGTGGGATAGACAACATCACCATCAGATGGATCTGTAGCTGGCTGACAAACCATACTCAGCAAATAGTCCTCAATGGTACTACATCCACATGGAGAGAAGTAAGCAGTGGGGTACCACAAGGCTCCATCTTAGGCCCAGTACTCTTTAATATCTTCATAAATGACTTAGATGAGGGAATTGAATTTGCAGATGACACCAAACTTACAGATGACACTAAACTGGCAGGAATAGCCAACACCCCAGAAGACAAGCTCAGAATCCAAAAAGATCTTGACAGAGTTGAACAATGGGCCCTATCCAACAAAATGAGTTTTAATATGGAGAAAAGCAAAGTTTTATATTTAGGAAGGAAAAATCAAAAGTTTAAATACAGATTAGGTGAGATCTGGCTCAAAACAACAACTATAAGAGGGACCTTGGAGTCCTAGTGGACGATCCCTTGACTATGAGCTAGCAGTGGGCTAATACAATCCTGGGTTGTATAAACAGAGGCATAAAATCAAGATCACGTGAAGTATTAGTACCGCTTTATAAAACCCTAGTAAGACCACACCTGGAATACTGCAAACTATTTTGGTCACCATACTACAAAAAAGATGTTGAGGCCTTGGAAAAAGCTCAGAGAAGAGCAACAAAGATGATCAAAGGCCTGGAGACTAAAACATATGAAGAACAGCTGCAGGAGTTGGGTTTGGCTAGTCTAAAGAAAAAAAGAAATAAGAGTGACATGATAGCAGTATTCCAGTATTTGAGGGGCTGCCACAAGGAAGAGGTGGTCAAACTATTCTCCAAAGCATCAGAGGGCAGGACAAGAAACAATGGTTGGAAAGGGACCAAAGAGAGAAGCAATCTGGAATTAAGGAGAAACTTCCTAACAGTGAGGACAATTAACCAGTGGAACAGTTTGCCTTCAGAAATCGTGGGTGCTCCATCACCAGAGGTTTTTAAGAAGAGACTAGACAGTCACTTGTCTGAAATGGTATAGGTTCTCCTGCTTGAATGGGGGGCTAGACTAGAAGACCTCCAAGGTCCCTTCCAGCTCTATTCTATTCTAGTACTTTATATAGTTTTATTGGATCCAAGAGGCACATAGTCCATTGCTTAAACAATAAAATATTTATCAGAGATAAGAAAATAGAAAACCTAAGTTTAAACATAATGCCTTCTTTCTTTGATAGCTGTTAAGCTACCAGGAAAAATTCTACAAGGAGGGCATTTTATAATTGTGAAGGCTACTGATGAAAAGGGTCTTTCATCATGGTTACTTTCTATACTTTTTTTTTCACTTGGGGAAATTTGACAAGGGGCTCAATGTTAAAAATGAAAAATCGTTCAGTACATGTGGAAATAGATACTATCTTCCTTGACAGGGTACAGAAACAGTTACATTACTACTGGTATCAGGAGCCTACTCCAGAGATGAAAGTATAACAGTTATAAATTCCAAGGCATTCAGGTAGACTTGTCTATACATAAGAGACTGTAGACTGAGACAGTCTTCTTTACATCAACTCAAGATTACAAAGTAGCATGCAGGCATTGGAGTTTTCAAGAACTTTTTATCAGGCATGGTGATAGAAAAGACAGAAAAAATGACTAGGAGAAAATAATGTGTTCTGCATTCAGGTTATCAGTTATGGCTCTATATGGAATAACTGCAGACATGAACTGAGTCCTATCAGTATTAGTGTTAGGTTTTGTATTTGATTTTTTTTTTTTTAAAAAAAAACCATCTGATAAGGTAACCATACTGTAAATAATGTGACTCAAAACAAAATATATTTTTATTTTATAATAAAGCAGATGGATTTTTTTCAATATTCAAATAAAGTAGGTTAATCCTTTTCTTTCCAGTTCTTTTCAGTGTGAAATCTACAATTGTTTGGATGAACTAAAGATTTAAAGTGTCTTCCCAATTTTGCTTTATTTTATTATTTATTTGTTTGGTTGCTTTTGTTTTCACAGGGCTGTTTATTTTGATTGCTGCCTCGATCTATACTGCCCGATTTCCTCAGTATTACAAAGACGGTCACCATGGATATTCCTTTATACTGGCCTGGATCTGCTTTTGCTTTAGCTTCATTATTGGGATCCTGTATCTTGTACTCAGGAAAAAATGAGAGTTGTCAGGGTAAAATAGAGAGGGAAGATTAGAAATTGGGGGACTTGTGGGGGGGGGGGTTGTATAACTCACTTTGCTATGAGAAGATTGCCAAAAATAATGAATATACTACTCACCCAACATGCTGAAAGATAGAAAACTCCATAAGAGAGAATTGCTATAGACCCTCTTCTGTTATGAATTTAAGACCATGAATATGGTTGAAGAATCTTCAGAGTAGAGAGATGATATCTCTCAGACTCCATTCAAAGGCCTCAGTGTTCTCCTTCACTGACAGCTGAAATGGCAGAAATAAATAAGTTGTTCAATTTCCTTCTTGATCCTTCAGCAGCATGGCATATCACCCATGAATACCACCATCCATTTCTAGTAATCCAAGAAGATATAATGAAGTGAGATATTAGAAGTATCAACCTCCCTTCCAAATTAAACAGTGTTAGAGCTGGACACATTATAAAGTAAAATGAGGTACTTGCCTCAGTCATCTGATGCTGAAGGATAGCAATGAAATACTGGATGACAGAACTACTTCTCAAACTAACCTGCATCTCCTAAGCTATCTAATTGTTCCATAACCAGTTCCATTTATCACTGTGCCTATTTTCCAAATTTGGAATGGGAGAGATGTTACTTCATTGTGCATTTCATTTTTTTAATAAAAAAATTCCTTGGAATTAAAAGATATGAAATGTGAAAAATCAACCTGTTTTAATATTATCTAAATTGTAACTTTAAAATTAATGTTTTAAAGTATTTAATTTCCACTCTTTATTGTCATGTAAAGAATAGTGCTGCTGTTGCTGAAGATAAAAGGCAGTAGCCACTGGAGAATAAAAAAGAAGTGAATGGTAAAGGAAGATGGGTAGGGTGGAGAAAGGCAAACAATATTCATAATTATAAAGCATGTCATTAAAATATGCAACTTTCCAACAAAACTTGGTATATCCATTTTATAAAGCTACACTATGAACATAGAACTGTTGGGTCCATAAAGTTTGTGTTCTTCAAGCTGTCAATCCTTTAGGCATTCAACTCTGGGTCATGGGATCTCATCTCCCAGCATCAAATTAGATAAAACTGTTAACAATTTCTCCTTTTATTGAATAGAATGAGGGATGGGAGGGGGTGAAACATTGTTAAAGTAGGGCTTTCAATATTGAAACTTGCATTTAAACTATAATATATAATGTGTGTTGTGGGCAGACCTTAATATTGCATTGGTCAAGAAAGAAATTATTTGTAGTATAAAACAGGGTTCCTGAGTCAGAATTCTGTGATAATAGAAACAAAGCTTCTGGTTTGTGTGTGTGTGTGTGTGTGTGTACCCATCTTAACTGCCCTCCCCCCATTTTAATTGCATATAGTGTGTCTCCCAAGGGAGAAGAAGAAGCCCGGCTAATTAAATTTTGCAAATAGAGGGCCAAGCAGAAAATTGCTATATGAAAGTGGAAAGACTTATTATTACATCATAGTTACAGTTTGCCTTCCTGCCACATAGATCAGTTAAAAATAATGAATGGAAACTATACTTAGGAAGTTGCTAATATGCTCTCTGCTTTATTGTACCTGAGTGATATGAAAAGTTAAGGAGGGGTTCAGAATTGCAAGTTTAGTATAAACAGTATTTTCTTTCTTGCTTTCTCCATTATACTGTTTTTATATGTATTTGCTAGATTACGTTCTGTCATACTTGCCATTTCTCAACATTTATTTTTTGTGCAGCCATTGTAAATATTTTGATACAACTATCCCTAGAAGTAGGGATATATAAAATAAAGTAAAATAAAATAAAATTCCATTTCTCAGACATGTGAGTTTTATTGATTTTCCAGAAGCATACATCAATAGCAGTTCTTCCCCTGAAGGAAAAATTAGGACAATCTAGTATTTTCAGGATAACCAGCTTGGCAGAGGCTGAGGTAGATTTGCTGCTATGCAGCTAAAGAGGTGATAACACAGGTTATTTCTGGAGCCCAGCTTTATGTAAAGGCATTTGCATCCAACTATTTACGGTACCAATTGAGATCTCACAAAGGATCACTGTCACCACTTTTTGGTGAGCAGATCTTGGATAGGAAATACCATCATGTTTCTAGCAGGTTTTGGTAACAGCATGGTCATCTCTTGCCTCCGGTTCATGGTGGGGTGAGGTTTTACTGCATATGGATGGAACAACTGAGAAGGCAGCCTCCGTCAAAGAGTCTAGATTGTGCTGAACCAAATGCAATAAATACCTTGCCTGAAACATTTTTGAAATGGTGTGAGAAGTTAGCTGTTAATGATCCATTTGCTTTTCTGGGATGCAAGGCTTGATATGAGAGTGAAGAGTGCCCAATAATTTGCCCTTTTGGATGGAATCATTCTAGAGAGCTAGGAGTGTTGACATAGCTGGTTGGCAAACTTTGTGCTCTTCATTACTGACTCCATGTGAGATGCCAAGCTGGATGACCTCCTCACCACTTTCTATACAATTTAGCAGAATCAGCTGAAGCAGGCCGCTACACAGGTATAATGCCACAGAAACAGACAGCTCAGAGAAAAAGTGGTCTTCTTATGCAGGGGGGAACCATTTGTAGCCTTGCCATTGCCTATTCTTAAACACAGTAAATGTTTGGCCAGTGACATTTGGCCTACTGCACATCCTCTTCTTGTAAGAAATGTTAAACAGCCCCAGTTGGAAGGAACTTTAAAATAAAGTTTGATTTAAATAGGTCAATAAAATTTAAGATATTCAGAGAGCTGAGTAGAAATTCAAGTTAAATTGGAATAGCTAGCACAGAATGTAAGATTCCACTAGTTGGTGTAATGGTAAAGTTACGGAGTAGATAACACAAATACAAGGGTGTCTGGAGGGAGTGAGGGAAAAGAAAGGCAGGATGATAGCAGCAATCAAAGCTTTGCCTATTTCTTTTGTCTGTTGGACATGTGATACACATAAAACATAGATGGAGCTTTGATCACATTATGTCAGCTGCTTTTTAAAGGTTTTTTGACCATACCCTGAGGTCACACTTGGATAGATTGAAGGATTTTAATAGTTTATGGATGTGAGGAAAAGGTAGGAACACACACAAAATGAACCAATCACAAGAAGCCAGAGCAGCAGAATGGTCTCTTTTCTCTTTTGTTCAGAAAATAGAAAAAAGCAGCAAAGCAAGAAAATCATTGGAAGACAGTGGGAAAAAAAATATGTTCAAAGAGCAGAAAAGCATTCTTCTCCCAAACAGTTTTAACAAGGAGAATTTGTGGAAATGATAAGGCTCATTGACTATTTAATCATGACAATGACAGAGAGACTATTACAGCACTCCATGTCATTCCCCCAGCATTCTAAATAAGAGGAAAATACAAAACCACCTGGAAGCAGGAGAAAAGTTTCATTCATTTCTCTGAAGTCAGTCCAATTGTGGGACAATTCAATCAAATTGTCATTAAATCAAACCACTTTCTTGTGCATTTCTGTAAAGTAATACTATTCTCTTATTTTACTATATTAATTTGCAACCATAGCAACAAATTCCTCTGTACATAGTAGATACTCCTTCAAATTTGTATCATGTGACATGGAAACCTGCAGGTTTTTAGGTCACATGGATATAAGGACAAAATGGAAATGTACTCTGGTTAGATGCTAAAAGCACTGAAAGAGGAAAACAAATCTGCTGAAATCAGTTTGATATATTTAAGGTGAATAAAAGAGATGAGTAAAACTATTCCTGTTAGTTAGAAATTAAGGCTCATTATTCTGCCACACAATGGATTTGCTGTGGAAGAGCATGACTATTCAGTGCTATGTAAAGAACAGATTCTGTGAATGTAATTCCTGTTACCTTTCTTACTTCAAAGGGAGGGGGAGAGCTCTATAGAATTATTGATAACCTATTTTCCTAAGCACTTCTAAAACAGGATTTTGTTTTTCCTTGTCTGCATACCTTTCATGTGCAATCCATAATAGAAAAATGCATTTTTGTACTTACTTCTTTCACACTTTTCTTAGCAATTCCTCCTAATATGTGCATGTTTGTGTGTTTTAGAATTACAAACTGCAACATAAAATTTTGAAATTTGGGAATGCATACAAGTTCTAAACTTACTCTATATTCCTGGCTGATGTGGAATTAATTCTAATGGATCAGGTCAAGTCTCAGTTCATACTAGAATATATTATTGTTTCATCTATCCCCAGGACGCAGCTCTCTACCAGGCCTTGAGCTGTTCAGAACTGGGCCATGGAAGTGGTGTCATTGCATGTGCATGTGTGCAAGCTCCATTTGTACTGCAGTACTGCAGTACTGCAGGCCACTTTAGCTGACTGTGTTCAGCAGGTCAGTGGTTCAAATCTCACCGACTCAAGGTTGACTCAGCCTTCCATCCTTCCGAGGTAGGTAAAATGAGGACCCAGATTGTTGGGGGCAATGTAAATATATATATATACATTGCTTACTGGTGTACACCGCTTAGAGAGGGCTTGCACTTAAAGCGGTATATAAGTCTCATAAATAAATAAATTTGCATGAGTGGCGAGCATACATGCCCACTGCTCACACAGAAGGAGCTGCCCTTGTCCGCGTGCTTGTCCACTGCTCGTGCAAAACCATCCCCTCTCCCCCTCAGCTGATCTGCAAAGCTGGAAAGTTTGGCGAACTCTGATGTAAAGTGTGCCTTAATTCTACAGCTAGTATCTAGTGCAGATTTACTAGATGCAAATAATTTAAAATATTGTAATTGCTTATATGTGGCTAATACCTAGTAGACAACAAGCTGAAGTTTTCATGATGCATTTAACCTGCAGTCCATTTGGCTAAATGCTTGACAATTGGTCACAGAAGGAAAGGGAGAAAAACTTTAGTGTGTATATGTGTATATACCTGAACATACTACTTCTTTTGGTTCCAACTCATTTACTGATACTCCACAAAGTTTTCTCTCCCATTAAAATCTAGAAGACCACAGTAGCTAATATTGGTAATTTTAAGGGGAGCTAGTGCCTGGGCTACCTGTACCCCAAGTTCTTCACCCCTGCCCCAACCTTCTTTCCAATCAATATGGGCAAGCATCCTATCTTTGGTGCCTTATTGTGCTATATGCTAAAACATACAATTCCCCTCCCCCAGTTTAAATAATAGTGGCACATTTTGAGCTAGGGAGCTCTGTAAGATTCCTGCAGTGACCAGTCACCTGCTAAGCTCCCATGATTTTATTTTTGAAGCAAGATACATTTCCAAAGCTGCTTCTTCCTCAGCAAGATGATTAGAGTAGCCCACAGAAATTGGGCTAGTTAATAGAATGGGATTCTGTGATCATTTTATGACTAAGTTGCAACAGCAGCTTTGGTATATTTGAGAGAATAAATTGGACTGGAGAGATATGCACAAAAATGCAATGCAAAAAGAAAAAAAAGCTAGATTAAAAGTCTAAAAATCTTGCCAGCAAATAGTAATGCTACATTTTTCTCTCCCAGAAGCATAATAATTGGCAGCCTCACAGAATATAAGAATCTGATTGTACTACTTCAGACTGTTTGTGGAGGTACTGAATAGTCAAATACTTCTTTCAGTATCTAACCTTTTCTCTGACCGTCTACCTTTTTATATATCATGCAAATACTTCATTTTTTATGGGAAGAAGCACTGAAACATGCTGTCATGTCTCCATGCTGGAATCGTTTAAGTTAGGGCCAGGGGCACAATATGAGGTCCTGGAACTGCATTGGTTCCCAACCTTTTAAAATGACCCAGAAACCTTTTAAAAATTTGCCAACAGATGACAATGGTGAATATGATATCAATGGAAAATTATTAAAAAGCCAGAAGAAATCATGTGAAGACAGCCTTGGTATGTCTAGCTACCTGTCAACTTTCTGATTTAGATGTCACAGAGGTTTCAATCTGTTATGGCTCAATACATAGCAAATTCATTAATACATGCCTCTCCTGCCAGTGAGCTATTTTTGAAAACAGATCTAGCATTCTTCTGAAAGTAGCCTGGTTGACTATCACAGGACTGAAGAAGGGTCAAGCATAGGGTGACTCAGGTCAAGAGCACCCATACAGCAGTCACAAAAGCTCTGCCCCCTTCTACCAGAATAATGGAAACAGAAAAAGGACAATCATGCAAAGTTCAGTTTATGTTTAAAATGTCAGTAATTTGTTTAAAAAGGAGGTACATGATTCATTAATGATAGAACCAACAGCACACAGCTAGGAGAATTTGGAATTTTTTCCTGGTTGAAATCAACAATCTATGCAGAAGAGCACTGGTATACAATCCTTTCTGAAATGCTAACAAGGTGTTACAGTGATTCTTTGTATGTATAGATTCAATATTCTTTATTCTAGCTCTGTTTTTAAAATATAGATGTATTATTTGCTAAACTTCTGTATTCAAAACAGATTTCCAAAAGCAGATACCTCTCTGCCTATTGGAATGCATAGGAGGGAGAAATAGAAATTAGGTTTGAATCTTGTGTCAGCTGGATATATGGCTTGTGCCCCACAGTTGCTTCTATTCTATTCTATTCTATTCTATTCTATTCTATTCTATTCTATTCTATTCTATTCTATTCTATTCTATTCTTCTAGTTAACTGGTTATCCATAATCATAGTGGTTAGACAGGGGCATGCAGATCCAACATCCATGGCCAAATGTTAACTCCAAAGAAAAGTTAAGACAAACAAAGTAGTCTAGTAGTTAAAGTGTCAGAATCTAACTAAGACATTGAACATTAAACCTCAAGTCGTGGTCTACTATCAACCCAAATTACATTGCAGAACTGTTGTAAAATTTAAAAAGGGGAGAAAAACATG